ACCTGCGGTGTCTGCTAAGCTGCGCCTGTCCGCCAGGTACCTGCATCGTACTCGGGTGTCTGCATCGCGACTTGCGCGCAGGCAAACTTACCTCACCTTGCATCATTAGGCTCTCTATACGGCAGGAGCACTCACTTCAGTTTAGGTGCTGTGCCTTCCACGTTTTTCCCGCCTTCTAGCTCCGATCCCAGCCCAGATGAAAGCTCCTTCCAGCTACCTCTTTAACAGCACTAATCTAGGTGCAGGATGCCTACACGGATCACCTCCTGGCGCCTTCGACCTTCGTTCTAAGGTTCTCATGCATCCTTGCCCCTGCAATATCCGTACCGGTCTGGTCCTTGGCCCCCAATTAGGGTCCTGCGAGCCAAGGCCCGGAGATATCCTGGACTGGTGATACAGGGAGGCAGAGGAAACCTGTCTAGAAGGTTCCTATCTGGAGCAATGGATTCCTGGAACACTTCTCTAGGCATGTACCCGCCTCGCATGTAATGCAACGTCTCGAAACCGCTGATCAAAGGCTAGATGCGCCGTATCACCCATCGTCAAGGCGGCCAGCGTCTACTTGTCTCACAAGACATGTCCATGGTTACTTCCAGCGGGAGTAATTAGGAGATATTACCACGTGCCCAATTGGGGAGTGTTGTTAGGTACGAAACGATGTATCACCTGCTGTACGATATGTCGTCTTTTTTTGTTTGCCCCCTTGCCTTGGGGTGATGGGAATACCTTTCTTTCTTCTGCCCTCAGGCGGCGATGCAGCGTCAAAATAGCCATTAACCCCTGGAAAAAATGCATCTTTGCTTCTGTAAAGGCCTCATTCGCCGTATTTTCTCAAGCAGAATGTTTTTTTTCGATATGCTTAGCCTTCTCTCTTTGCCCCAGCGCGTTGGTGGCGAGGTACTGCGCAGGTCAGAATCTGGCATCACGCATATGCCTAGTTCAATGACCTGTCAGTCGCAGCAAATGCTACTACAAGTGTGGTGATATGCATGACTAGCACCAAGAGACAACGAGAGATGAGATGAGATAACGAGATTGGCAAGCAAGACCATGGAAAGCCTCTCTCATTCATTTCTTTTGCAACCCCTCAAGTATGAGGCAGCCACACGTTTCACGATATGCATTGCATTGCGACACCTGGCCCAGCTGATTTCTCAGAACAATAGTCTCAATGTCCGTCTCTGCAGAATCTCAAAGCGGCCAACTTCGAGGAGGGCACGGTGACGTACCTCAGCCAACCACATCCTGGGCACATTCATACACCTCTCGCGGCTCCGGGTCGTGGTGGGCCAAAGCCATGCATCCATCAACAAGGGCCGACATATGCAGCTAATACTAATCTCATCCCGAAGGCGGTGAAGGGGCTTGACCCCCTCCCCGGCCGGCAAGCTGTATTGGCCCGGATCCTTGGACCGCCCGTGGCATGGCAGCTACGGGTGACGGGAAAGCGTCCCTTGGTACAACGAACTGGGGCCGACGTCGTTCAGCCGTCACAGATGGCCAGCCTATGTTACCTGCGGAGGGAACTAACGCAATGGCCCGTATGCTGCGACCACTGGGAAGGATGGATTTGGATTACCTTTTGCCTTGGCTGGTAGGTGTCCTACTAGCCTGCAGTGGTACCACATCTTGGAGGGGTGATGCCGCGAGCCATTGCTCATTGCGCAGCAGCTCACCAATTGAAGCTCTGTGACAGCTTGTTTTCTCTTTTCTCACTGTCTAGTGGCATTAAGCACACCTAGTCTGCTCTAGTTCGCCTGAGTCGTGCAAACGCATCCTCATGTCGCCTGCCGACTGAAGTCGCGGCGGAAGTATAGCCCGACCCCCCTGAAAGGATAAGTTGAGGCATCATTAACCCACCTCCAGGGCTGCACACAGGGTTTCAAGGATATGCGGACAGGAAAGGGAACAGCAAAAGAGAAGCTGTTGCAGCCCAATGCGACGCACAAAGGGAGATTGCTGGCAGGCCGTCTTGTACATGGGGAATGCCTGTAAAACGGCGTGCGGAGTGCGCTGGGCCGTAGAGAAAGCTCGCTTGTTCTTTCTACGATAGATAGTTCTTGGGTGTGTGACACTCATGTAAGGGAAATGAGTGCTACTACTGAGGATGTAACTGTACCTTCGATGATGACCCCTGTAGATCGACCAACGGACAGGGGAGCAGTGTCTTAAACAGCATGTTGACCTTGTCGAAATCTGGCAGTGGTAGTATAGCCCTACGGTGTAAGTCAATCAATACCTTAACTATCGCTGTGCACGAGCGATAGGCTACTGTTGAAGCGAGACCTTGGCATGATACATGCGTACATACACGCACATACTACACTTACATACGTATATGGCGGGCACCAAGGCCTATCCCTTTCGCGGTCCTCAGGGCAAGTGTGAAGCGAAACCCATGAAACGCCCTGCAGGCTATTTGAACAGACACGCCCTCCATGTTTGCCTGTATAGTGCAGCTGGCTATGATTGCTCGTCAGGGCAGTCGAGACGGATTTCCGACTCCCGGTTTTAGGCATGGGAGAGAGCCATGAAAGCATAAATAGACGGCAAGGGTTACGTCTTCATTGACCGAGGATCCTTCCTGAAGTTGAATATCTATCTCTCTAGAAAACGAATCATCGTTACTGCAACCGTTGCGCCACTGCCGTTGTAGAGAGTGCCTTGAGGTGCTAGCCTTTGTCTCCCGCAGTGGGCTTATTAATCGTCTACTATTTTCCCCATATCCAAATACACCAGCTACTCCCTCGTCTTCTTTTTCCTGGTTCGATCTAAAGTTCCTCGATAGGTTTGAAAGAAGGAGAGGACGGGAAGGCCGACTGGGTCACAAGGCAGCCAACAATCGCCACCCATCGTTGCGGGCTCGTTGACTGTACTCGACTGTCCTATATCTTGGGGCCAACAGACATCACGAGGCCGACTCGACGAAAGTCAGGCCAGCAGAGCCCCACAGAGAGGGCCTCGCCGACACGCGGCGACTCCAAGGGGGATCAGTAGCTTGTATAGAGCTCGTATCCGAGAACAGTGCTCAGGAAAGGCGGAAAAGGGGTAAGGGTATGTTGGAATCCTGGACCCTAGATGCGCACCCCTCATCATCGGATTGATGTCATTCCGTTATTTTTGGTCCGGTCTGCTGACGGTTTCTGCTCCATCCCCAAGATCCTGAGTGTCTTTGGCTTGATCGGTTGCCAAACGGGACGAAAGTCGACGACGGCGTGCATCCACTGGGAGGGGCGTCGACTAAAGCTTGGTTTGGCCCCGTCTTGAGCGGTTGTCCAGTTTTTTTTGCCACCACCAGGCAAGAAGAGCAACGCGGAACCACTTGTCAGCTGTGCGGGCCAGGCAGTGCAGCGTAGCGTGCAGCCGGCATTACAGTGCAGCACAGCGCAGTTGTAGGTAGGTAGCATCCATCCATGCAGCGAGTCGAAAGCACCACCAACACCACATATTGAACCTCAGTACCTGGGCTGACCTTGGCTGGCTTCGGCTTGCCTTGCCTTGGCTACCTGACCTCCATGCCACCACCCTCCATTACCTTACCTACCTTACCTCCCCTCTGCCTTACCTAACCTTGCCCGCCATTAAGGCCCTACCTAAACTTGGCCGCTGACTTAAAAAATTGCCCTAGTCGGGTGGTGCTTGCCTGGATCAGAACGAAAACGGTCTCCACCAGGTACCTGCCTAATACAAATCCATCGAACGCAGCGAAGCAGAGATACAAAGGAAGGTACGTCCCGGCCTGGGTCCAAGACGCATCCCCAAGGTACCTCGCTCGTGCTGCCGCCGGCGGGATACAAGCGAGAGCAGCGACCAGACTCGATTTGCTCTGGAGCGCAAGAGTCAAGAGCATCAAAGAACTAAGACTGGTGCACCTGAGCCAGGGTCCACTAAAGCAGCTGGCCAACCAGCACCGGCGGCGGCTAATCTCCACCGCTCGACTCACAGAAAGGGTGTTGAGCCGACAAGCACTGCCGCCCCGGCCATTGGGGACTGTGGATCGGGCTGCGCGTGTGTGGTGTGTGTGACTGTGTCTTCCTGGGTGGGTGTGCATGCGTGTGGGTGGGCGAAGAGGTACCCTCTCACGGCCCTGGTCCCAGCAGGTGTGTTTGGCTCGCAAGCTGGTGCGTGCAAGGTGGGTTTGGACGTGCATACAGACGCTGCATGCCACATGCATGCATGTACGAAACGGAGCGCACTACGTACCCTCAACTGTCAACTTTGGGACCTGGACTCGACTCGTCAAAGCCAACGACTTGACTTGGCAGCCGGCTTCGATATTATATTGGTCATTCATTATTGGACTCGGGGCTCGACTCGCCTCGCATTGGACCGCCAGCTTCATCGCCTCTGACCTACACGAAGCAATTGCGGTCGAGCGTCCAAACGGAACCACAAAATTACGGCCTCCCATCCTCTCCCGCTGGCGTCGGCAATAATTGTGTGTGGTGCATCATTCCTACTCTCCTCCCCATCTTACACTCTCTCTTCCTCCTTCCATCCCTCTCTCCTACCAGCATCCTCAGCCAAACGCCCGCCCCGGCCCTCAATCAATCCCTCGTTTCTCCCCGAATACTCTTAATTGCCACGGGCAGGGCAATGGTTCAATCCTGGTGATTGTCCCCATCACTCGCTCTGTACGTCACATCCTCACCGGCTGCTCACTCTCCCCGTCTGTCTCGCCGCGCCCACAACCCCCCTCGATCTCGATCTCATCCCGCCCTCAGATTGTTTTCGCCAGCCGCAATCGCTGTCGCCACAAATCTTCAGCAACTTGCGAAGAGCAAAACACCGAGGCGGAACAAGTTCGAGTAGCCTTTCATGGCTTGCATCTCCCGCGCCTGAACCCTTCCACAATGGCGAGCGCAGTAGCAGCCATGCCATTATCACACTGTACTTCGCTCTCTCCATCCCTCCCTCCACCTGGCCTCACTTCCCCTAGCATTGCACCGCCCCCGTGAGCTTGTGCTAACCAGCTTGCTTCATCTCCAGTCCAGCCCGCCATGGCGGTCGCAGACCAGGGCCAAGCCTACTTGCAGCAGCAACATGGCGCTGGCGACAGACTCTCGACGGCTTCCGATCCCCCAAACACCCTCGTCGATGTCATCCTCCGCGAAACCCAATACCTCTACTCGCTAGTCCTTCTCATCACCTTTGTCTCTCTTGCTGCGTGGTACAGCGTCTTCAATGCGAAGAAGGAAGAGGACATTGTGCAATCCAAATTCAAGGGCCCCGGTGGCAAGCCTTTACCCATCACCAAGCGGAAGAAGCGCACCAACGGCGAGCGCAAGCTCGGCCCGCACTTTGGAACCGCTGCCAAGATAGTCTTTCGTTTTTTAGCTGCCATTGTGTTTCTCACTTACCTAGCCAGTGCGTTGTTGATGCTCGTCCATGCCTTTTGGTACGAAGATCCGTATAAATGGTCAAAGGAGGGTTTGCCGTGGGCCGGGCAATGGAGTGTGGTATGTCTCCGAAAATGCACTTTCTCGCCTGTTACATCCGCCGGCGTGGCGGGGTTTGTCTCGTTGGGGGGTTTCTCTATTCTTTTGCTGACCTCACCCCTAAACAGGTTCACGTCACTGGTGCTACATTCTTTCACCTTTACATTTTCGTGTCCCTGTTCGATTGGCGCAAGGGTCCAAATGTCGTCCATCTCGTCGTCTGGATATTGGGCTTCATCGGGGAGATCGTAATTTCAAGCGCCACGTATAGAGCAGCCATCGAGTGTCACTTTGAAGTCATCGATGTGTCCGACCGCAACGGCGAAGAAGGCCGCAGCTGCACCATCGGCTACTGGACTCGGCTCGATCTCATCCTATACTTGGTCCGAATCTTGCACATTGCCGCCCTGATCTTGTTCTTCGGAGCCGCATGGATCAACAAGGCGTACCGCCAATCATCTTCTGACCACCTCAACCTTGAGGCTGGACACGCCGCCGAGTCGACCCCGCTTCTCAATGGGCACAATAGGTCGTACGAGACGCAGAATGGCAATGGCCACACCGTTGAGGCTAACGGCCGTCGCAAGCGGGGGAGAACCATGTCGAACGCCAACAAGCCGGTTGGAACTGCCAGTCGAAAAGATGAGGGTGCCGCCTTCTATCGTCCATCCAAGCTTCCTCACAAGACATGGTGGGAGTATTTTCGAGGTTATTCCTTGTTTTTCCCCTATTTGTGGCCCAAGGACAGCACGAAGCTTCAGCTCAACGTCCTGATCTGCTTCTGCCTCGTCGTCGTTCAGAGAATTGTCAACATGCTGGTGCCCTTCCAGCTCGGTCTCGTGGTGGACCAGCTGGAAAAAGCCATCCGAGAGGTCAAGGGTGGCCAGCCTGTGTCTTTTGACAACTTCCCGCTCCGCGAGTTCATTACCCTCGGCGCCCTCTGGATTCTCCAGGGCCAGTCAGGTCTCCTCGGCTCGCTGAGATCCATGATGTGGATCCCCGTTTCCCAGCACTCGTATCGTGGACTGACCACCGCAGCGTTCAACCATGTGCACTCGCTAAGCTTGGACTTCCACCTCTCGAAACGCACAGGCGAGGTTCTTTCTGCTCTCAACAAGGGATCAGCTATCAACCAGTTTTTGGAGCAGGTCACTTTCCAGGTGTTCCCGATGATGATGGATCTTTTCATCGCCATTTCCGTCTTCTACTGGAAATTCGGTCCTCTCTACGCCGAAATCAACATGGTCATCACTTGTTGGTACCTGTACATGACCATCAAAATGGCATCGACAAGGGCCGAGCAGCGAAGAGAAATGACCAACGCAGACCGAGAGGAGGAGGCAGTGAAGAATGATTCCATCTCAAGTTACGAGACCGTCAAATATTTCAACGCGGAAGAATTTGAATCTGGGCGGTATCAGGACAAGGTTGGCGTCTTCCAAGCCGCGGAAGCCAAGGTCCAGGTTGGTGTTGTCATGATGAACATTTGCCAGGCCTTCGTTTTCAACCTTGGAAGAATCATTGCTGCTTTGGTTTGTGGCTGGCAAGTTGTGGTCGGAATGCGAGGGACAGGTGACTGGTTCATGGTCGTCTCCTACCTCACTCAACTACAAGGCCCTCTGAACTTCTTTGGTTCCTTTTATCGCACTGTCCAGCAAGCCATGATTTCGGGGGAGAGATTGCTCGAGCTGTTCAAAATTCAGCCCACCGTGGTGGATGCTCCACACGCCGTCGACCTGACCAATTTCACTGGACGCATCAAGTGGAATAATGTCAGCTTTGCCTACGACAGACGCAAGCCGGCCCTAAGGAACATCAGTTTCGAGTGTGTGCCGGGCACGACAACAGCTTTTGTCGGCGAGTCTGGCGGCGGCAAATCTACCCTCTTCCGACACATGTTCCGATACTACGACTGTGACGAGGGCAACATCGAGCTCGATGGGCAAGACGTTCGAAATCTGACAATCAACTCAGTCCGGCAACACATTGGAGTTGTGCCCCAAGACACCACTCTTTTCAACGAGACGCTCATGTACAATCTCAAATATGCCAACCCTGAGGCTAGTGAGGACGATGTTTACGCGGCGTGTAGAGCTGCAAGCATCCACGACCGAATCCTGTCTTTCCCTGACCAGTACAATACTCAGGTTGGTGAGCGAGGATTGCGATTGAGCGGCGGCGAGAAGCAGCGTGTTGCTATTGCTCGTACAATTCTCAAGGATCCTCGAATTATCATGTTGGACGAAGCAACATCTGCACTGGATTCTCACACCGAGCAGGAAATTCAGGACAATGTTTGGCAGATTGGTGAGGGGCGAACTCTGCTGATCATTGCGTAAGCTGGCCCCGACGGACTTGGTTTCATGGGATGTTCCATATGCTAACTTGTTAACTATAGGCACCGGCTTTCCACTATCACACATGCTGATCAGATCATTGTACTCCATGCTGGCATGATCGCAGAGAAGGGCACGCATGAGGAGTTGTTGGCTAAACGGGGCCGATACGCTTCCATGTGGGAGAAGCAGATTCGTGCAGAACGCGCCCTTGACGCCGCCCGGGAAGCTCATCTCAAAGCCGCCAGGGCCTTGAGACGAGCTAACATGGGCGGACAGAAACAGTCGGAGTCTTCGAGAACGAGCTACAACAGCTTGAACTCTACCCTTGTAAACAAGAGCCTCAACTCTAACTCCGGCGGCAAGAGCGAAGAATGCACCTCGGCGTCGTCGGGATCATCGTCCAACTCGGATGCGGAGTCGACACACACTGATGAACATTCAGACGACAAGCGCGACACCTCCGAGGAACGACTGCCTGGGAAGTAATATTTCATCTCCATCGTTAAACTCGGCATTTCATATCATATGATAGACCACATCCCGCTCACCAGAAGCTTTCCTGGTCTTTCTGCATACAAGCGGCGTTAAGGATGCGATGCTCCTGGCTTATTTTTTTTTCATACTTCCTTCACAGTGAAGAAAAACTTCATCGTTATCGCTTATGGCTCACCTAAAACCCCAAAGCCGACTAATGCTTTCACTTTAATTACATGGCGCTTGGTCTCCTCGAGGCGGCACATGTCGTCTCAACCGTCTTTGATCTGGTACACCATGAAGAGGAAACTTGGACTGGTCCAGACAATGATAGAGTAGGGAAGCTGCTCCATACCTCACACTCTTTTGATCGATCACCACGACCGATTTTGCTTTATCCGTCGGCCTTTCACGACGGAAACGATCACCCACCATTCTCGGGCTCGGAAACTTGGCATTTTATGAACACGCTCAATTCTTAGGCCTTACAGCAACAAGTGTTGTTATAATTTTTATGCGGAACTGTTATAGCAGATGATTTTAACATAGGTTGGCAGAATAATTTTTGTGGAAGGACTGGAGGAGTGGTCAAAGCAGGAACTTGCCTGGCTAGAGGACCTACTCCCTCTTCCGCGTTGTCCTCCTCAGCGTTGTGATTTTCCTCCAGTCAGCACTGTTGAAGCGAAGACTGAAACGTGAGAATTTCAACTCACTACATCCCCGAGCCTCTGGGCCGGGTTGCAAGAAATGCGCGTGGCTTAGATTTTTGATTTGCAGCGAGCAGATTTATACGTTTGTTACTCATTGCTTCTTCCTCATTTATGGAAGACGAGGTCACGAAAGGGGAAAGGATAATAGGGGCCGCCCATATGCCTATAGGATGGCAAACTTATAGGATGGCAGACTGGCTTTCTAAAAGAAAAAGAGTCCTCAAGGATCTTGGAATGCAAAAAAACAATTGATTCATCACTTACTTGTCCTGTCCCTGTGATTGATGTGCTCTGATAGGTGGTATCTCGTAGTTGAATCGCTCGATACCGTTATGAGTAAGGTGGGATAATGTATACGAAACTGGGCTGAACCCTTCCGCCAGACACAACCTCGCTCTCTTGCTCCTATTTACCTTGATGACCATTTCAGCCGTGCTACGCCGCAAACGGAGACGCATTTTTATTATGCTCGAGCTATCAACACACCCCGACCTAGTGCCAACGGCGGCTACAAAACGGTCGGCCAACAAACACGACGGTTGACCCCGTTGATGGCAAAGGGTCCCAAAATCCGGGCACTTTTGATACAGCCGTTGACATCCCGTCTCCCGAGGTTTACAAACCGGATGAAATCCACTGCTAGGGTAATTGCGGTATCATTCGACTGCTACTGGTAAGATTTTCGCATCTCAACTAGTGCATGCTCTCACCTGTCTATACCTCGGCAGTTCCAGGTCTCACATGGGAAATGTATATAGATGGCAGGGGGGAAAAGCATATCAGATGCAAGTGTATTTCTCTAATTTTTTTCATGTAAATTCGTGGTAAATTAGTTGGACCCCGTCCCTCTGCAGCAAGCCCCCCCAAATCCCCGTCTGTAAGTATGTAGAAGAATAAAGCGAAAGTCATTGTACGTGTCAACTCTTCTTGTTGTACAGGAGATGAATTAAAAAAAGACCCAACTCCTTCATTATAGATGGCGTGATGATAATGATGATGATGATGATGATATGAGATGCAAAAAAGTATACTGATAATACTTGAACCAAGTCAAGATGGGTTGAATTACAAGTTTAAGTAAGGACGCGCTTGGCCGCAGCCTATACTATCCTGCCAGCAGCGAAACAGCCAAGGCGGTGAGAGAAATTGTAGATGAAGATTATGTCGTAATTAGTTCTTGGCAGAGCCGTTGGTGCCGTTCTGGACAGCGTGACCATTGGTCTTGGGCTTTGCTTCCGTCGTCTTATCCTCATCCTCATCTTCATCCTCGTCATCGGAGCGATCGTCCTCTGCAACATTGTGGGCAACCATGCGATAGGCAATGCGGACAATGTAGAAGAGCCAGAACAAGTTGAGGGCTTGCAGGCAGATGAGCAAGGTGGAGGTGATGACCTGGCCGAGGAGACACTTGTACTGCCCACCTTCCCAGTCAAGCAAGAAGGGACCAACGGTGCGGTACTCGGTGAACAGAGACCAGATAATCTTGAGGTTGATGAAGTGGCGCAGATAGATCCAGGCGCCCATGAAGACGACGAAGAAGGGGGTGAGGATGGCCGAGTCGAGATAATTGAGGGTCTTGGCGGTAGCAAGGAACCAGTCACTGATATCGTGGGTGATGTAGACGGCGATGCCGATGTAGGTGAAGTGGAAGCGGTAGCTCAGCCCAATGAGCGTCAAGGTGGTAATATGGTGACCGACCAGCTCCTTGTAGTCCTTGCGGGGCTTCTCCATGCCGAGGACGAGAACAATGGCCTGCTGTGCCCAGTAGGCAGCCTGGAAGAGGTAGTAGAACTTGAATTGAGCATCGTGGGTCTTGTGAGGATAGCTCTCGTACATGCCGCGGGTGTTGAAGTACCAGACTGGCGTGAAGCTCATGACATACATGCCAAAAGGCCCGAGGAAGCTGAAGTAGACAGCCGTGTAGACCTGCTCCATGAAACGGGCAATCTTGTTCTTGCCGAGGCCAGCACGGCGACCCAGTGGACGGATGATCTCCTGCATGACGAACTCGCGAGTAAACGACAGAACGACGGTGTAAAAGGCGACAAAGGCAATGTCCCAGAGACCCTTTCCGTAGTGTTTACGCCCATGCTCGTCGTTGAAGGACTCGGGGAGCTCGTAGGAGAGGAAGATGAAGCGGTGGACGGGGTTGGAGGGCGTGGGGTTGACAGCGTAAGCGAGGCCGAAGAGGGCGATGATGGTCAAGGGGAGGACGAAGGTGTGCTTGACCATGGTATGGCGGATACGGGAGACGAGGCCGAGTTTTCGGCGGCGAGACACGCGCTTGCCATCCTTGGTGGTGACTACAGTTGCGAACGATGGAGAAGCAGGCGTGCCACTGGCATCGACGGCTTTGAGACTCAGCCGGCTGGTAGCCAAGGCTGGGGCAGTGTCGCCAGCACGGATGTCACCGCCTAGTGCACTGCTTCTTCTCGGATGCCTTCGGTAGGGTTTGGGCGGGTGAGAGATGCCATTGCTGTGCAGCTGGTCGGCAGATGTGTTGAGAAGGGGGAACGGTTCTGACATGGTCGATTGATCGTGCTCCGGCGTCGAAGCGTGTGTTCAGGAGGCGAACGTTGGGATGCGATGGAGAGGGTAATTTCCCGGGCACCGTCAACTGGGCGCTCGTTATCAGCGTGCCTTGGGAGGAGGAGATGTAGGATCCTCCACTGTGAACAACGGGGAGCCGTATGCGTGTCGTCGCGCGTCGTTCTAGGTGAGTTCGGAGCCGTTGTTGGGTGAGAAAGAAAAATCAACAGGTAATCAGATTATTTTTTCTCTCCTAGTTCTCTCGTGGCCGTCTGGGGATCTGCGACCACCAGGGGGGAGGGGGTTGGTGGGTTCTTCTAGGGTGAAACAGCCCAATACCGCTGGCAAATTAAACGCAGGAAATAAAAGAAGCTTGAAGAATCAACCCAAGAGCGGCGGTATGGGGGATGCGTATTATATATGGTACGGCGATGCGGAAGCGAGTTTCAAATGCAAAGTCAGGGTGATTGATCGGTGATCTTCGTCGTCGCGGCCGCGAGATGCTGTCCGGTTTGCTCGGTTCGCAGACGAGGTGGACTCTCTTGGTTCGCTCACTCGATCACAATTCGAATGGGATGGGATCCGTTTCGGCAGGGGCGGGAAGAAGCGTGGCGACGTCACGGGGGACAAGAAAATGGCCTGCCCAAGCGGTAGACTTTGTCCAATCCCGAGCCAGATTAGATCAGAGCAAGCCAACGAGACGGCGGAGAGCTAGACCCTGTTTCTGGCGCCGTTGTTTTTGGGTGGTAATTAACAACCCTGTCACGGTAAGCTAGATCCAACAGCGACAGGACAGGGTGAAGGGGGACAGGTGATTGAATCGGATCAACACCATGTGATGTGATGTCGTTCTGGCTTCTTTTCTTCGTGGTCTCTAGTGATATGGTATGATGTGACGAGCGATTAGAGATTGCAAGTATATCCCGAAAAGCGGGTCGCTCTTTCTCGGGGTTGACGCTTCGTCAAACACAAACGCCTTCTTCGGCTCTTCGTGGGCAGGAGCGGGACAAGTTGAGGGAAGTAGCGGGCGGCAGTTGAACTTTGAGGGGAAAGATGATCTATTCTCTATCCTCGTCCTCTTCTCGGCGCCCAAGGGTTCTTATATTTCTTCTCTCTTTTTCCATCTTTCCCATTATTTTTTTAATAATTTCTTCAAATATCTCCAAACCGTCCATCTTAGGGGCAGGGTGGAGGCACGGAGTCCGCTCTGTCTAGTTGATCAAATCTACCTGGGGAGGCGTAGAAAGGCCAAAAAAAAAAAGATCCGTCGCATACCTTCTCTAACGATGTGAGCAAACCCCCCGAGCCGAGTTTTTGCACTGAGCGCTGGGCCCAACCCGAAATGCACCGCGCGAGTCCGAGAGTCTGCCTCAGTTTGTCGGAAAACCCACAGGTGAGCGAGGTCGAGTGTCGGATACATTGGCGTCTATCCGAAAGGAGGCTTTTGCTTGCTTAATTTCTCTAGTTTCATCCAAGATGCAAGTCCAAATTGGCCGTAATCTGCCAAGGACCCCCGATGGCCGGTACCTCACACTAGCAACGAGCTGCTTAGCAAACGCAGGTACCTATTTCTCTCTCGGGCAGGTCAGACGTGCATTCAATTGCTTCTTTACCTTTTCTTACTGTGCTTTGCCCCAATAACTCCACCCGGCTAGGTCCAATCGCTTTGCCTCGTTCGCGGGACCTTTCATGTAGGGCACACCAAAATCTCCCCATGCGGACGAATCTCCACTGTCATGGTGGTACTATTATGCCCGAATGTGCATGAGCCTG